TACGTACCTGGATTCGCAAAGGTTGCTAAGCCTTTGACACGTTTAACAGAGGGAGAAAGACGATTCCAATGGGACGAAGAATGCCAAGAAGCCTTTAAGAACCTGAAAAACGCGTTGACCAGCTCACCAGTCTTAAGTTATCCTCTTCCGGATGGTGAATTTATTTTGGACACGGACGCAAGTAATGTGGGCCTGGGAGCTGTTTTGTCGCAGATTCAAGCGGGAAAGGAGAAAGTTATTGGATACTTCAGTAAAACTTTATCCAAACCAGAACGAAATTACTGTGTTACTCGACGCGAGCTGTTGGCAGTGGTAAAGGCAGTCGAACACTTTTACAAGTACCTGTATGGAAGAAAATTCTTGCTAAGAACGGATCATGCTGCCCTAAAATGGCTTTTGCAATTCAAGAATCCTGAAGGACAGGTAGCAAGATGGATTGAGAGACTACAGGAGTTCGACTTTGACACAGAACATCGGGCTGGGACCATCCATAGAAATGCTGACGCCTTGTCAAGAAGACCGTGCCCGGAAGACTGTAAACATTGTCTCAGGGCCGAAGAAAAGGATGTGTTTGTTCGCAGAACTACAATCGTGGATGATCATTGGCAATCCGCTGAGGTTCAACAAGACCAGGAAAGGGATCCGGATTTGAAGCTTATCATCGATTGGAAGAAGAACGACCGTAAACCAACGTGGCAGGAAGTCGCCCAATATTCGCCGAATGTGAAATCGTACTGGGCCCAATGAAATTCCATCATCTTAAGTGACGGGCTTCTAAAGCGCGTTCTGGAGTTGCCAGAAGGGGGGGAAGACCGGAAGCAGATAATAATCCCCAGAAATAGGATACCAGAAGTGCTGCAGGAAATCCATGATGGAACTACTGGAGGACATCTTGGGGTGACCAGGACGCTCGGAAGACTTAGGGAACGGTTTTATTGGGTCAACAGCCAACGAGATGTGAAGGAATGGTGCAAGAAGTGCGCCGTTTGCGCGGCAAGCAATGGACCCCAGAAGCGCCCAAAAGCCCCAATGCGACAGTACAATGTGGGCAGCCCATTTGAAAGAATTGCAATCGATGTGGCGGGTCCATTTCCGGAAACAGAATCTGGAAATAAATACATCATCGTTGTAATGGACTACTTCAGCAAGTGGGCGGAAGCGTACGCCTTGCCAAACCAGGAAGCTGCCACAGTGGCCGATGCCCTTATTAAGGAGTGGATTTGTCGTTTTGGTGTGCCAATGGAGATGCATTCAGACCAAGGCAGGAACTTTGAATCTATACTGTTCCAGAATGTCTGTAAAATTCTTAACATTCGGAAGACGAGGACGACTGCATTACATCCGCAGTCTGATGGAATGGTAGAACGAATGAATCGAACGATAAACCGGTACCTGTCCAAGGTAGTCTCTGATCACCAAAGAGACTGGGACCGCTTCCTTCATCTGTTCCTGTTGGCGTACCGTTCTTCTATCCACGATACAACCGGCCAGACACCCGCTAGCATTGTTATGGGGCGTGAACTTCGTCTACCTTGTGACCTGAGGTTTGGTTGCCTACCAGGGGATGATATTGCTGGAGAAGATTACGTCAACAATTTACGTAGGAAAATGAGCGACATTCACAGCCGAGTTCGTTTAAACATCCAGAGCGCCAGTGATAGAATGAAAGAGGCATACGACATCAAGGCGGAAAATGGAGGATTTCAACCTGGAGACCTAGTTTGGTTATACAACCCTCAGCGCCGTCGTGGTTATTCACCGAAGCTGCAGACTTCTTGGGAAGGACCATACGAAGTCATGGATCGCATAAATGACATCATCTACAGGATCAGGAAACAACCAAGAGGAAAGCCGAAAGTGATCCATTTCAACCGATTGGCCCCTTACGTTGGAAACAATGCTCAAATAGACGATGCTAGAGTAAGGAGAGTTAATCCGCCGGAAGACGACTTGCCTTTTGAAGACTTCATGTATTTATATTCGAGCGGTAAAAAAGCTCGGTATGGTGTCGAGAAGAACAAAAAGATCTGTTCACGGTTTCGGCCGATTACTCCTTGGCTCACTGTGTTGCAGAAGACCTAAGGATGTCCAGAGGAATAGCGGTTGTCTTTAAAAACAAGTTTGGACGGGTCGACGAGCTTCGAAGGCAGAATCCCAAAGTTGGAGAGGTGCTTGAAATTGTGGATAATGAGCAGATAGGCAATAGAAGTATCTTCTATCTGGTAACGAAGCAGCTCTCCCATCATAAGCCAAACTACCGTGACGTATGGAATGCCTTAAATAAATTGAGGGATACCCTTTTGTCCAAGGACATCATGAACCTGGCGATACCGAAGATTGCTTGTGGACTTGACGGTTTAGACTGGAGAATAATTAGAAGCATGGTGGAAGTTATCTTCAGATGTAGTGGCATACACATTCTTGTCTGTTGCCACAACCCTAAAAGAACATCCGGAAGGAAGACCGTAGACTGCTACTTCTATAGGACGTCACAATGCAAGTTTGGATCTCTATGCAAATATCGCCATGGAGCTGAGGACCATTTTCGGGACGGGGCAATGTAGCGAGTACCGGAGTGATGACTCATCGCCGGTTAGTCATCGCCGATGAGTCATCGCCGGTGACTCAGCGCTCGAACAATCGAGAGTGTGGAGCTCGCTGGAATGTTCCAGAAGACCTTGGCGCTGTAATATATAAGAAACGGAGCAGCACAGAGCAAGTCAGTTATGATTTGGTACTCGCGGCGAAATAAATAAATATAAGTGCAAATAAATAGACTCTTGAACAATAGTGATATATAAATAATTAGTAGTTAAGTGTTTAGTTAGTTTTATAGTGTTTTAAGTGTAGTTAAGTTATTAAATAAATAGTTTAGTTCGTTAATTAACCAGTGCGTGTTTTAATTCACACTACGAACAGTTAAAAAACGTTACATTATTATTATCATATTGGTATTACTTGGGTAAGGTTTATAAAATGCTATTATTATTATTATTATTGCTATTATTATTATCACATAATTTGATATTACCATTAGGTAATATCATGGTAAGGTACCGATTAGCATTTTGATAGATTGGGATTGGAGACTTAGGGTTAAACCTGCTTACCTAAGCGCTTTAATTTGAATACTTGATAATGACTTTTTGGGTGCTATATTTTGTTCTTATAATATTTATTTTATACAGCGCGACACTTAAGTGTCGCGCTGTATAAAATAAATAAATTTCATGTGGTTTGAGTTTTAGGCTATGTTTATGTGTTTTTGTAATGACGCTCTCCTATTTACCATTTATTGTATTTATTTACATTTTACCCCCTTTTATTTTATTGCTAATTGTTGATTTTATTTGTGTCTGTATTTGTATTTGTGTTTTGTTGGAAAAGCGTTTTTACTTGAACATATAAGCATGCATGCATGGGTAATATAAAGGCATTAGGTGAAAGGTGGTGTCGTTATGTTACTTACCTTTAATTTCTGTGTGCAGGCCGTGTTTGTATGCTTTTACAATACTATTGTCTTGTGCTGGACATTGATTTTGTGAGAGGATTTAAAATGCGTAAGTGGTATAAAGGCACTAAGTGAGAGCAGTGTCGTTATATCTCTTCCACAGATGGTTTGCTTAACATTTTTCCATAGTGTGGTTATTAGCTACGGGTAATATCTGCATTATATCAATAATTCCCCGCGCTCCTATCCTATTTAGCATTCGAATTCTCTCTAGATGAAAGTTGTAGTTGCTGTTCGTTTATTATTATTATTATTATTATTATTATTATTATTATTATTATTATTATTATTATTATTATTATTATAAAATCGTATCATCGTACAATAGTTCGAAGATGCGTGGTAAGGTAATCAAATAGTACAAATCTTTGTCATAAAATGACAATCTCTAAGAATGACTTTACCTGAGTATAAAATGTTTAGAATATTGATAAAATACCCAAATCAAATGAAATATGTTTATCTGCTTTTTATGTTATTTTATTCACTTATTATTTATACTGTATTCTTGTGATTATGACCCATATGACTATGTTTTGTTTTTTTAATTTATTTTTTATTTGAACTGTGTAAGTCGACAGGGTTTTTATGGTCCCTTTTCCCTGTGATTTGACTCAACGGGCCACCCCTTTGTCTTTGCTTAAATTAAATCAGGGGTTTCAAATTAAATACTTGTGTTTCATTAAACCTGACCAATTTCAAAATAACGTTATTATCAATGTACTTAAATACACAACGTAGAGTTTTTATAAAGTAAGTAAATTAACTAGACGATCACGAATATGCCAAAACAAGTATTTCAGTATACTTAAAGAATCGGGTTACGAAAATACATAGTGTACCTTACAATATTTATCACCTTTTTTCAAAAAAGACCGGTCACATATGATATGACAATACAAATATTATAATTTAATAGTATATCATTAGATGAGAGATAATGCGCATAATCTTGATTGTTATATTATACTTTAATTATCTACTCCAATAAGTAGATAGGTAATTAAATAATTTTCGAAAATAAATAAATAAAATCTGACATCTGTCAAATGGTTAGACTTACGTTTTACCAATTGTCGCCTTCAAATTGCAGTGAATATTAAAATCGACCAATCACTGATACCTAAGAACGTGAATAATGAGTTCATTATTCCCGTTGATAGGCAGGGAATTTATGATGTTTATCATTATTCACGAAAAAAAACAATATTATGCAATAGGAGTAGATACAAATATGTATACATATAGATACGAAAGAATACACAAATAATAAAGCTTAATCAGCTCGACACAATTATCTGTCTGCGAAAAGAATGCGACACCCCCATAATTGAGACAGAAAATGATTGTACTTGACTGAAACAGACAAGGAAAGCGCTTTTCCCTTACCGATACCCCGTAGACACATAATCGTGTGTCGAGCTGTAGTTGATGTAATTAAAAAAAATGTAATCAAAGGCATAATTCAATTTTCTATATTTTTACTTACTGTTTAGCCTGGCTGCTTCGTTAGATAGTCTAACATAATCCTTAAATATATTCCTCATTTTGGCACCGGAATTATTCCTCCAACCTTTCCAGGCATAAACCAGTTCATCGTAGTTTCTAGATTTGCTCATAATTTTTTCAATGCCTTAAAATTTGTTATTGAGGATTTTTTACGTAGGTTTGTTAAGTGTTTAAATACCTGGTTCTAAATTTAGCCCTTCCTTATCTAAATCACATTTTTGTTTCTCATATGGACATATTTTGGCTGTACTGTATATCGATGTCATTTTATTCACAGCGTTTGTTAACTAAAAAATGTTTTTTATATAAATTAATGCGTAAGAATTTAATATTGTTTTAAATGTTTTTTGTTTTTTTACATAACGCACCTAATATGTAGAATGTTTGACCTAAGCGTAGCTACGTAGCGAGTAAATATGACAGATTTGTATATTAGGGTGTCCGTTATTTCCCAAGTTGATGTTTTTTACTTGGATATCATGGGTATTTTAATTGTAACGGGCGCGACACTGACACTTCGTTTTTTTCATGATAATGAAGTGTTTGTTTAGATATGTCAAGATACGTTTACAAAAGTTTTAAAATATTTTTAAAAATAGATATTTAACTCAAACCAAAAGTCAATAAAAACCTTTTATAACGTCATGAATCGCGTAACGGGCGCGAGAAAATCGGTCTATGCGACGGTCGCATTGTGACTAAGTTGGCTAGTAATAATTGTTTGTGTAAAACTAGTGTCTTCAAACAAGCACGTATTTTAAATTCACAAATTTTGTATAATTAATTATTCTTAAAGTTAGCTTCTTAGTATTATAAAGTACGATGACTTTAAGGTTATAAATTACGTCGCAATTAAACTAAACTGCGCACCACTCAATGTGTCGCGACTAAAAAGTTCGTTCTTTTTCAAAACGACATAACTTTTTTGTTTCTTAAACGATTTTATTTTGGTCTGTGATGTCTGCTAGCCTCATCCTCTGGCAATTCATGCTATAGATATGAAGTTCACGGTTCGTCAAGTAAATTTCCTACAGGGCGATATCATATCACATATCACTGATATGTTAACCGGTGAAAAAATTCAATAACTTCATCCAAGCCGGGATGTAAAAAAATATTTTTTTTTTTCGTTTTTACTTTAAAATAATGAAATATTATGTGTTACCTTGAAACGTTTTTCAAATTTTTCGAATTGGAATCTTAGCAACGAAAATATGATTTTTTTATCCAAAAGAGTACATTAAATTTTAAGGCTTTTTTGTAGGCAATACACTCAGTCTTTTTAGGAACAAGAAAATAAGATGGTAAAAGATTGTTTCTTAAATAATTCTGAACAAGCGGCAAGCAACAAACTTCCATTATTTTCAGAGGGCCTAAGCTAAGACCACTTTTTGAAAATTTTTGTGAAAGTTTGCAAAAACTAAACCTAAACCGATATTTACGTTCGTAATATGTTTTCTTCATAATTTTAACCTCCTGATTGTGATTCAGTTGTCAAATTTAAGTTTCAGATAAAACCAAAATCAAGATTCGAAAACAATTCCCGGCTGTTAAATGTCTCAATAAAATCCGATTGCTGGTTTTACTTTTTTTTACTGTGTTTTGCATCTTTAGTAAGTTATTATCATGTCGCTGAATAATCATATCGAGGCTTAAATGATGAAAATTAGTTCTTGAAAAACATTCGAAACGCATTATGAGGGATATTCTTGATTTATTCAGTTTGCTTGTGTTTTTCCAAATTTCGAAGTTTTTTTTGCATTTATTTAATAATAAAAGTAACCTGGGTAAGATAGGGATAGGTATGTAGGTAGGTAGGTATAACTTATAAGTAGGGATGGGATATTTAGGTACTAAAAACTGAAAAATAGGTAACTAAAAAGGTACTAAAAAAAAAGCATTTTGGGTTAAAAAAACAGCATTTTAGGTAAAAAAAATCATTAAAAGTTTAAGTTTCGTTTATAATTTTGTTTAGCCGCATACCCAAACACAGAACATACCTACCCACAATAAACTATTTCTATGCAATAAACTGTGTTTTACTGAGTGACACTCACTACACAGAAGTTCTATGACAGAACATAAGCTCACTAGTAGTGAGTAACTACAAAGAAGGTAACTGTAAAGAAAGTTACTGTTACAGTCTGTAACCATAAGAAAAAATTCTATACCGTTGAGTTGCACGCCCTGGATAAAATATTGGCGCAAATTTTAAAAAGAACAAAAAAAATAAAATAAGTAAAAATATCTTAAAATAGGTAACAAATATGTGAAAATAAACTGACAAATTAAAAAATATGTAACAAAAGTATAAAAAAGTAGTTTAAAGCAAAAACCTCCAAAAAAGGTAAAAAAGGTGAAAAAAAGTTAAAAAAATAGGTAACAAAAGTATAAAAAAGGTAGTTAAAAGCAAAAACCTCCAAAAAAGGTAAAAAAGGTGAAAACAAGTTAGGTTCATATAAAAGAAAATCTTTTAAAACACATTTTGGCATTATTGGTTTTCAAATAGTTACATCGGTTAAAAAAAGGTATAATAACTAAAATCCCATCCCTACTTATAAGTTATACCTACCTACCTACATACCTATCCCTATCTTACCCAGGTTACTTTTATTATTCCTTTAAATGATTAAAATGCCAATGCCAGACTTTGCTGCAGCTACGGGAATAAACATCTTCAAATCAACGGAGTGACTGTTTGGGGTGGAATGGCGATGAATGGAAAGAGTGAATGCTCAGAGATTTAGAGATTTGGTTGTAATTGATATCGTGGTCCCTTATGCTCAAAATGTCGCCAATAATTGGTGTTGGTGGACGACAATGCCCGCCAAATTGAGAGAATGAATTGGCCACCTTTGTCTCCGGATATGAATCCTATTGAGCATGTGTGGAGAAGGATGAAATTGAATTTGAAAGAGAGGGAAGGACGCATGGAAAATTTGGATGAATTGGTAAATGCTATTTAGGAAGAATGGGGTACCCCAGGAATTTCTGAGGAACTTGGTCGAGGGAATGCCCAGGAGGGTTAATGAATTATTACGGGTTAGGGCAGGGCCGGCGCAACCTATAGGCAAACTAGGCAAAAGCCTTGGGCGGCAAAGTCAGGGGGCGGCAAAATCAGGGAGCGGAAAAAATCAATTGGGTTAAAATATAAAAATAAATAAAAATTGGTTGCGACCAAGCTATAAGTTCGAATTTAAAAAATGTAAACACTTCTTAAGAATAATTATTGAATTTACTCAGAGGTTATCTATAAAGATTCGGGTTTTTATACAATATCCATAAATTAAAAAATATGACTACTAAGAGTATTTTAAATCATTAATGACAATTGTCTCAAACTAGAAGAAATCCTAAAATATAATATTTCCAAAGATATTGATGCTACGGAACTCTGTGATGAGCTAGAAGTGATTGCTAGACGCATAGAGCCAAAGGCTACACCGCAACAAGTTTTAAATTTTTTGTGTGAGCACAAACTTAAAGAGATTTTGTTCAATTTAATAACAGCATTGCAAATTTTGTTGACGCTTCCTGTGTCGGTAGCCAGTGGCGAACGCAGTTTTTCGAAACTAAAATTAATAAAATCCTATATCAGATCGACAACAAAACAGGATAGACTTGTAGGACTTGCAACCTTATCAATAGAGAAAGATATTGCTCAAACTATAAGTCTAACTGAACTTGTATCTGACTTTTCCAAGTTGAAAGCAAGAAAAAAATTAATGTAAATTTGCGAGGGTTAAACCACTGATTTTTTTAAGTTAAAATTCGCTTACGAATTAACGGCTAAGGATAACAATAACAAGGGTAGTCATGTACAACGCGTCGCTAAGCACTGATTAAGCAACGATTAAGCACCGATTAAGCAAGTTTTCCTTATTGATAACGACTGATAAGAAAAAAAATCTCAACACAACGTCCACTAACATTGAACGTTGGTCTCTAAGATTTTAATGTGGTTTACCCCTCGTAAATTTGTAATATAGTAATTTTTAAGTTTAACGCACTGATAAGAAAAAAAACGACTGATAAGAAAAAAAATCTCAACACAACGTCCACTAACATTGAACGTTGGTCTCTAAGATTTTAATGTGGTTTACCCCTCGTAAATTTGTAATATAGTAATTTTTAAGTTTAACGCATCTTCATTTATTTATTTATATTACCTTATATTTTCGAAACTAAAAAACTTATTAGGTATATTTTGTCATTACTAGCGCTGATTTGTCCTAAAATATATTTTAATAAGATTATGCAGTTTATGTACTTTAATTAAGTATGAAAAAAGTATAATGAACAAACTTTAAGGGGGGCGGCTCACAGATTTTTTGCCTAGGGCGGCAGGTTCGCTTGCGCCGGCCCTGGGTTAGGAGAGGGCCAACGAAATATTGAAAGTTATTATTGTTATTGTTTGTTACATTTTTCAGTTGAATGTAGAAGTTTTGATTATGATTATATCTACGCATAAAATTTTCAAAAATGAACAAAAATATTTTTATTTAACTTTATTACCAATTAGGTATACCTATAGGTACTTATCAATGATGTTATCACTACTGCGCAATGTAAATGTATATGTAAATGTGTATGTGTATGTAACATTATCCTAACCACTCAAACAAATTGCAGTAATTTTGCCCAAAAAATGAATCCCCATTTGGCATTTTCATCATAAATATGCAAGAAACAAGCCATCAATCGGATTTTATTAAGACATTTAACAGCAGGGAATTGTTTTCGAATTTTGATTCTTGGTGATTTTGGTTATATCTGAAACTTAAATTTGACAACTGAATCACAATCAGGAGGTCAAAATTATAAAGAAAACATGTCACGAACGTAAATATCGGTTTAGGTTTAGTTTTCGCAAATTTTCACCAAAATGTAATTTTGAAAAAGTGGTCTTTGTTTAGGCCCCTCTAAAAATAATGGAAGTTTGTTGCTTGTCGCTTGTTCAGAATTATTCAAGGAATAATCTTTCAAAATCTTATTTTCTTGTTCTTAAAAATACTGAGTGTATTGCCTACCAAAAAGCCTTAATTGTACTCTTTTGGAAAAAAAATCATATTTTCGTTACTAAGATTCCAATCCGAAATTTTTTTTAACTTCAGATATACATTCGGGTTTTGTTCTTCTAGCCTGCCACTTGCTCTATGAAAACAGTTTAAAAAATAATTGACTTGTGACCCTGGAGGGACAAAATCGGAATCCCAGCACAGAAATAAGCTGGTAAATATCAAATATACAAAATCTACATCAGATTGAGTAAGTTACAAGAAATTTCCACAACGGATGGTTAAAATATATATGGAAATAAGTCTGAACACAGCCATTGGCCATGTGATGCATGGTTGAAATGAATAAAAAATAGTTATATGGATGAAATAAAATGAAAATACTGATTGAACTCCTGATATATTTCAAGAAAAAATAGAATTATTGATGAAAGAAAAAATTTATATGGATGTTTGTAAAAGGTATGGTGGAAATAAATCAAGAACAAATACATAAAGCAAGAATAATAGTGAAAATACTCATAGAAACAAGGAAAAGAAAAATATAGACGATGCAAGAAACTTAAATTAATGAGACGGAAAACAGATAATATTGAAATAAACCATAAACATTAAGAATATAGATAAATCAAGGGATGATTTGAATTCAGATTCTCTTGATTGAGACCCTTGATCATATTAAAAAAAATTAAAACATAATGGGCTGGCCAAATACCTTTTAATTAAGCTAAAGGACATTTAATGGTAATTAACCCCTGAACACAGTAGGTACTTTTGTGTTCAGATTTATGAAGAAGATGAACTTCAGATATAGTTTTTTGTTTTGCTAAATAACACATTTTTGTCAAGTTTGAGTAAGGATTCGTGGAAATAATTTAGATGAATACCTATACCTAAATTATCTGTTTACAGACTAAAAACAATTAAAAAAAAATCCGATGTCGTTTAACCCACAATCCACAAAACAAGGTATATTCTATCTCGTACTAAAAATGCTAAAAATCACTGCACAGAGTTTAACGGCGGCCATTTTTGTTGTTTAAAATTCTTGTGCTTTGGTTTGTGCTCTGTTTATACAAATTAATAATCCTTTTAAACGTCGTGTTTCTTAAAGCCTTTAAAGAGGCCTTAAAGTGCTAAAAACAACCATTTTACTCCCCTTTTGTAGAAAATAAACCTTATTCTATCAGGAATGTCAACAAACTGTCAAATGTCAATTTTAAGGTTAATTTGTGGGTTATGGTAAATTAACCTTAAAATTGACATTTGACAGTTTGATGTCAGCCCTGATAGAATAAGGTTTATTTTTTCAAAAGAGTATTAGGATTGCCCTTTGCACTTTAAGGCCTATTTTAAGGCTTACAAGTGCCTCTGTAAGAAACACAACGTTTAAAACGATTATTAATCTGTATAAACAGCACAAACCCAAAGCACAAGATTGTAAACAACAAAAATGGCCGCCGTTAAACTCTGTGCAGTGTTGTAGTGATTTTCAGCATTTTTAGTACGAGATAGATTGTATTATAATAAATACATCTATCAATATACAGTGTGGTTCGCATTTATGGAATAAAATTCGTTATGCAATAAGAAACGATTTTTATGAAAAACGCTCGGACACGCGTAAATTAAATAATTTTACAGTAGATTACTTACATCAGTGTCAGCAAGTGAATGGGGAAATATTTTCAATATTTATAAGATTGAAGAACAGTTTATTTTTTATTTATAACACTATACTGTTGAATTTTTAATTAATTTTTTTGAAAATAAAAACTTAAGTTAATCTGTCATTACATTTTCATATTAAAAACTATGATTACTAGACCCTAAAAATGTGCACTATCAATTTTAGATGACTATTACCCTCTTCTTAATTTCCACCAATCACAAACGCGCAATTTTGAATTACAAATGGTTTCTAGGTGAAAAAACTGTGTGACAGCACCTGTCAGCAGTTTTTTCGAGTTTACCCGCGGCAAAACTTGACAGCTGTCACCAAAAATTGCAATTTATATTTTAATTGTAAACTGTTACTCATGAAATAGTCTTGTCAAATACCATTCGGGCATCTAATTTTTCCTAAAAAATCGAAAAAACACAATGCTAAGTAATATTTTTTAACAAAATGCATTCGTGCAGGTGCAAAAATCCTCCTCTTCGACTCAGATTTTTGTTGCCACCAGCACTCATGCTTCTTGTTAAAATATTACTTAGCAACGTGTTTTTTCAATTTTTTTCGGAAAAATTAGATGCCCTTATGATATTACTTACGAAAAAAGTGTAATAAATGTGCATAATGTGGTAGGGGAGAAATGGTGGGGGCAAACAATTTAAAATTGTAGTTATAAGATTTTAAATATTTTTCATCAAAATCTTTTCTCATCGAATAACAAATTTTATTCCATGTGAGAACCAAACTCTATATTATATATTTTTACCTTTTCTAATTTACTTGGTTCCAAGGCAGCATCCCCAATAATTACTAGTTTCTTTAATTCCCTTCTTAAAATTGGATCTTTATATTCCTCAGGATTGACATCTTTAAAATATTTTTCCCATATTTCTTTGCTTAATTTTGCCTCCTTTAAGGTTGTATTAAGCTAAAAGGAACAGAACTTTATTTGTTAGAAGGTACCTACTTAGTTTTTTAATTTTACCAAAAATTGTTCTTTTTGCTTATTTCTGATATCAGTGTTGAAAGCAAATGTAACATCGTTTAATTTATAACAAGAATCGCTCGTTTGTTTTTCGTATGAATTGGCTAAAAACATTTTCATTTGATTTTCGCTTAGTTTGCAGTTGGCTACAGCAAATGTGACCAGAAGCCATAGCCCTAAAGTCTGAAAAACAGTATAATTAAAACAATAAATAATTAATAAACTACTCTCTAAAAATGAATTAGTAACTAATTGTCTTAGCAAAAAAGCAGCCACTAATAATTCTCGTCGAAAACAAGTTGTATTCCGAACATTTAGCAGTCAATTCCTATGTAAAATTGTCCGCTAAATCCAAAAAATTCGCAATTCAAAAGTTTAAAAGTAGAACAGTTTTTTCATAAAATATGGAAATAAATACCTATAGGGTACTATAGTTATATCTCAAAAACTGCTCTACTTTCATAATTTTTGACGGTACGGCGGACAATTGTACATAAGAGTGGCTGCTTTTTCACTTTGAAAACTAGTCATTTTTGACTAATTTATTTTTAGAGAGTACCTACCTAAGATTGTTGACATTTTTTTATTTAAATTTAATTAGGTATTTACTGTAGGTACATTTACATTACCTACATGTAATGTCCTTGGTTTACTTGTTCTATGGCATGAATAATTTGTACGCTTGTAAGAAGGTTATTGCATTTCAAAATTAGTTTATTAAGGTAATAATATATCAAGCAGATTTTCATATTCCTTAATTATAACGGGCAACGTTTTTAGCGAAAATAGTTGGACCTACTCTCTTAAAATGAATTAGTCAAAAATTACTAATTTTTATAGCGAAAAACCAGCAACTAATAACTATATATAGTACCGTCAAAAGTTATGAAATTAGAGCAGTTTTTCAGATATAGTCAATTATATGAAAAAATGGCTATATCTCAAAAACTGTTCTAGTTCAGCTGATAATTTTACACAGGAATTGACTGCTAAATGTCAGGGATACAAATTGATGTGGACTGAAGTTTTTAGTGGCTGCTTTTTCGCTATGACAATTAGCCATTTTTGACTAAATCATTTTGACTCATAAATAAATAAATAAATAATTAAATTCTTTATTTGCCCAAAAGATAACCATTTACAGGACATAAAAAAGATGATGTAAACGATTTAAACAATTACCGTCCTATATCGCTACTACCAATTATATCAAAAGTGTTCGAAAAGGTCTTAGCATTGCAAATCACCGCACATTTTGAGGAAAAAGGACTGTTTTATAATGGTCAATATGGCTTTAGGGGCAAACGAAACACCTCAATGGCAATACTGGACCTTCTGGAAGATATAATTGGGGCTTTTGAGGACAAAAAATACACAATGGTGGTGTTTTGTGACCTTTCAAAGGCTTTCGATTGCGTACCCCACGACCTTCTTATTAAAAAACTAAAAATGTATAACTTCAGTAACTCTTCTACTAACTTAATACAATCTAATTTAAATAATAGATACCAGCGAGTAAAAATAAATGGAATAATGTCAAGTAAAGAAAGAATTATATATGGTGTACCCCAAGGGTCTATCCTAGGTCCACTATTATTCCTAATATTTTGCAACGATTTGCCACAATTTAATAATTTAGCCAAACATATTCTATTTGCAGATGATACTACTTTAACAGTCCATGATAAAAATTTAAATATGGCAATGGAAAGGTCGAGGGGGGCGCGATCGAGGGCACAGGAATGGTTTACAGGTAATAAATTAACTCTTAATAATGACTATTCCACTCATTACTTTTTGGACCAATCAGATTTCAGAAAACGAGTGGTTTTTTCAGTTTTGCAGCGATAAAACTACTACTATTCAGGTGAAAAAACCACTCGTTTATACGAGTTGCATAACAACCAATTGGTTGCTATGATAAAAATAATTGTCACTGTTGACGTTTTTAATTTTAAAATTAAAATGTTAAAAAATATGCGTTTTGGTCCAAAAAATCATACAGAAATTGAATCAGCAGTTAAAAATATTCGTGAAATAGTCTTGCCGAATACCACTCGTGATAAAATTTTCCCTGAAAAAATTTTTGATTTTTATTTACTCAAGATTTTTCCTTGGAAATTTCGCTCGTGGCATTAACTTCAAACCACTCGCCTAGCGGCTCGTGGTCTTAAAAATTAATGCCACTTGTGAAATTTCCAAGAAAAAAACATTCGTATAAAAATCAAAAATTTTATCGGGAAAATTTTACCACTAGTGGTATTATATACGAAAAAACAGTCTCCATTTTGTTCTCCCTTATGAGGAGCAGTGATGATGTCAATCATGGCCTTCAGGATTTTTCAAAATTTTTGGGTGTCTATATTGACAAAAGACTAAAATTTGACAAACATATTGATGCTCTCTCAGTTAAACTGTCAAAAAACATATTTCTGCTCAGAAGCCTATCAAACTGTTTGTCCTTCGATATACTTAAAAATGTTTATTTCTCATTGTGTCACTCTCTGCTATCATACTCAATTCTTGTGTGGGGACAGGCAGGGGAATGGCAACGAATTTTTAAATTACAACGAAGAGCTATAAGGGTAATATGTGGCCTAAACTACAGAGATGATTGCAAAACAAAATTTATAGAACATAAAATATTAACTTTTCCAAGCTTATACATTTACGAAATCTTAAAATATACAAAACTAAACTTTAATAAATTTAACCATAACATAAACCACATATACAATACCAGAAACAAGAATGATCTTAAGACTCCGCAATTTAGATTGACCAAATCTCAAAAGAGTATAAGTTTCTTAGCACCAAAGTTCTATAATAAAATACCTAAGAAAATAACAGAGCTGGATCAGAATGTGTTCCGGGGTATCATAAAAATTTTTTTGTTTAATAGGGCGTTTTACTCATTCGAGGAGTTCCTGGGATGTGAGATTTCGATATCGCATTTTGAGGGGTTCTCGGACGAGTGAGTGACCTTAATTGTATTGTCATATACCTCAATTGTATTGTTATATATCGTTAAACGTATTTGTGATTTTATTGACCTGTGTAAACATATTTTTTGTAATGACACCGTATAAAGTATTATTATTATTATTATTATATTATTATAATAATAATACATATATAATAGTCAAGACAAAACTAACTAAAATTGACATAAATATTGATAACAATAATTAACCAATTCCTTAATACTACAATTATTAATATCGCATCATTACAGATTTTATTAAAATTATTACACATGACCTGCACAGACGATTTTAAATGCATTCTGGAGTTAGCATATCTAAATGTAAGTGTATTACGGGAACTTATTCTAGGAACAAAAAAATTAAGCATTGAAAGTACCTCCACTGCATCAACTTTATTATTTAATAATTTATACGAGGGTTGCCTTTTATATTTCGGGAATAGAGAAAACAAATAACAATTAATCATCGTACATGGCTTTATTGTTTTTCAAAATATTCTCCATGAAGATCGACACACTTTTGCATGCACTTGAACCAATTTTCGAAGCATTTTTTTCACTCCGATTAAGGCACCTCCAAAACATGCATTTTGAACGCATCAACCGCTTTTAAAGACCCACACAGACGACTGCTGTTTACTTTCAGGTTCATACACATAGATCCAGGATTCGTCACCTGTCATGAACAGGTTTTGAAGCTCCGCCATCGTATTTTTTAAGCATTTCTTTTGACCACTAACCTTTTTTTGATCGATTGTCAAATTATGTGGGATCCAACGTTAACAATTTTTTCTGACGGCCAAATGTTCATTTAATATTGAATGTATGCTGGTCCCACTCATGCCCAAGGATGACCCAATCTCACGATATGTCACATGAGGATCTTGCATTACCAGTTCACGCACAGCATCAATGTTTTTTTCAAGAACGAGTGATTTTGGACGACCTTCACGAAATTCGTCGGTGAGCGAACCACGGCCACAATTAAATTCGGAACACCACCGATATTTACTGTTTTTTATGGCACTTTGTCGCCAAAAGTCAAATTAAGTTCATCGATGCATTATTGTTGGGATAATCCACGTTAAAGTTGTAAAAATTATAGCACGAAAATATTCACGGGTCAATTCCATTTTTTTGGCCGACATTAATTTTTCAAGTGACTGTTAATAATACTAATTGCGCCCGCACGTCAAAACGTTTTAAGTAAGAACACCGTCTAAAAGTTCGAACTTAACGATACAGACATCTGTTGTCCTCGTAGATTAGAATCTGACTAGAGACAAATCTTCTGTTTGCTAAAGATTGCATATTAAATTTATTTAACAGGAAACGATTATCTACCCATGAGAAAGTATTGTCTGGAATTTTTTGGACTATCCTCTTTTATTGAGACGATATCATCAAATATTGATGACATCGCCTATAAAGTCGTTTAAAATAGAAGATCGCCTGTTATTTTTGTTGACGATCGTCAATAAAAATACGCGATCGTCATTGTAAAATTGATAATCATCTAAATAAAATGACGATCGTCATACAAATCAGGCGATCGTGTATTCTAAGCAATCGATCGTCTTCATAAAATGAAGATCGCCTTTTGCAATCGTCTTTAAAAGAAGTAATCGTGAATTTTACAATCTTAAAACCAGGCGATCTCTTTTAATAAACAATGATTTTTAAATTAATGTATAATTTATAATTACTATAGTTACTATAGTAACTTACACTATATATATAAATATATATTATAATTTGTATAATTATTTTATAATTTTTAAATTCTTTTAATTAAAAAATTTAAATGGAAATTTTAAGTAATTTTTAAATCATTAATATACAAGGTGATCACTTAAAATTGGGCAAAAATTTAAGTGGCGATTTCTTCTGTTATTTTTTGAACATATTGTGCTGTGGTGATTTTTGCAAATCCGTTTTGTTTTGAATTAGTTTAATTATGTTACTTTTTAACAAAAAAATTAGGGGTGATTTTTTTGGGTTATTTAAATAATATTAAGCAATGCCGATGGGATAAGAGTTTTATCATAAGACACAAAACTGTATGTTTTTATTATTTTATTTTTATTATTTTGGCATCTATATACAAGGTGTCCCTAAACTTAGTGGCATAAATTTAGGAGCAGATTAAGCAAGTCAAAATAAGACGAAAATCTAAATAAATATTTTTTCTAATTAC